GCCACTAGGCCAACACATCTTCCCTACATAATGTGGGGCACGGCACAAAATCTCATCCAATTTGTCTTATACCCTAAAAACTTATGCATCCACTTATGCATGCCCCACCCGTACAAGCGTAAAACAATGTCAGTGGTTGTTAATGTAAGTTGACATTCTTACGAAACGACAATTGCATTTTTACGTATCACTTTGAATGGTAAATGAGTGAGTCATGAGCGTGTGGCTCGAGTTGAATAGAAATCGTCCGTTTTAAATGAAGAGTCAAGGAGCGAACAAGGCCTCCATTATTCATGAGGGCTCGCCTCGACCGAGTGTCGGCAACGCAAACTGTTTCTAAATCAATATCCGTGTCTCAATCAGTGCAATTAAGGCAGCCCTCGCGTAGGGCCCTTGTAATTAGTTTCACACTACACCACTATAACTGATACGTATAGATCTACTTTGCTTTTGGTGTTCCATTTTTAAATTTTTAAAATTTAATATGAAACGACATCGTTCTAAATACTTGAATTCGCGATGTTATGTAAAGTACATAATGTACGATTAAATAAATGTATTCATGTTAAACCTTAATTAGAGATTTTATTCGCTTTTCAAAATGCTGCATTGACTTTTAAATTAAATTTGGATAGGGTGGGGCACATTCAACGTAATGTAGCATTGAATTTAATAAATCTCAAGGGACGAATGGGCCTTATTTTTCACACAGCGATCCCTGTATCATTATAGTCTGTATTCGAAAACACAATTAGACTTAATACAAAGGTGATTGTCGGGGGTCGCTTGTGAGGGGTTAGTAAATCCTTTAATTTGGCTCCCCGATCAAATAAAGAAGGGGGAACGCGTTTAGTGGTTTTATTGCAAGCGCCATCTGTCGAGCGCGCACTAGATGGAGAGATAATTTCGCTTTTACTAGAGGGGGCGCGGTCGAGCGTTCAGTTGTCGAGTTCATTTAAACAATTCACAGTATCAGCTTCCAGATAACACACCCTTCCCTCATTACCTTGATACAACCGTTATAATTTGATAATCCCTTGTGACGATTTTAAACAACAATTTAGATTCTTTGATACGTCAATGTTGTTAGATGGTTCAAACTATATGTAGTAATAACTTGATAAAAGGTGGTCTGAAATTCAAAGAAGCTATGCAGATCCATAGACAAATAATATAAGATTCGAATTTTAAAATCGTACATAGTAGAACTGAAGGATGACGCAAAGGTGGTCAGAAATTCAAATAAAGAGTGCAGATCCATAGACAAGTAATATAAGATTCGAATTTCAAAAGCATACGTAGTAGAGCTGAAGGATGACACATAACTTTATCATAACAGACTAATAATGCAGAGCGTCAGTATTTATTAGATCTGTTGTATAGTGAGGTCAAAAACAAACAGGATTAGGGGGCTCCCTGGCTGTTTCATTATAAATGGCTAAGCGGATCAGGCACGTGCAATGTTTTTATCAGGAGCTGCGGGCACCCTAATGCACAAGTAAACAACTCCACCCCATCTATGAATAATTTGTGAACCAACTGGTATCGACATACCGTCAAAATAAACTTAGTTTAGAAATATATATTTAATGAGACTTTTTTTTTATAAATGGTCTTTGCGCATAGACACAAATTAACATTACGATCAGATATGAAAGTGTCCAATAACACTTCTTACAGTCTGTAATAAGGGGAATACACTCAATTCTTGTATACTATTTTTATCCACTTATCACTGTTTAGCACTTAGGACTAAGACGTTTAATTATTATAGACGTTTATAATAATTTATTGTTCCCCATTGAATTAGGACAGTTAAAATATACAAACTTCTTCAATTCTAGCAGATAAGTCTAAACTCTATAGTCTTTTAAAATTCGATATTTAACGACTTGTCTAAGAAATAGCACGTACAGAAACGCCCATAAATCGTTTTAAGAACCCCAGACAGACTGCAAAAAGCGCCTTCATTTAAAAGGAAATATTAACACGAGAATTTCGTTTTTCGCATGAACGATATTTCATGAGTTTGTGGAATGGGTGATATGTGTATTGAAGCGTGGCACAGGGGTGTCAACGCTCGTAAAACACGACATAGTATTTCATCGACATTCGACACCCCCGGTATTTGTTCTGTATAACCCTATTGTTCCCTCTCGACACTTCATGAAATCACTGCGGCGTTATTAATTTATAACTCTTCAACTATTGACTCTAGTTCGGTGCATTGCTATTAAAAAGAGATTGCTAATAAACAAATGAAATTCCATTCTAGGAGTAGGCAATTTTATATTGGTTTTTTCTATGTGGAATATAGCTGTTAATTTGTTTGATTGATTTGTTGTGAAATTTTTGAATGCATTTTCAATAAGTCTGAGAATCGGCTACTATCTATCTTTCAAACCCTTAAGTAATAAGGGGTGACCACCCCAAAAAACTTTTTTTTATTTTTCAGACAATTTTTTTTGTTTTTATTTTTTTGTGATACAAAATTCCTCTAATTTTTATCTTTATACGATCGACCCCTATTTTTTATTATAGTAGATAGTTACTTTTATTGAACTAAAAAAATGTTTAATGGAAATAATATACATGGCAAAACAACGTTTGCCGGGTCAGCTAGTATAATTATATTAAAGAGCAAAAATAAACTCGCCAGTTAGCTCTGAATACACTTGCTTCACTTTTAAAATAATACGTGTAAGGGAGATGTAAGGCGTGGATAATCACGAGGAAGAACAATAAGTGTCCGTGTCGATTCAGTCACACGAAACAATCAATTCACACCGTAAGTAGGTGTAATTCGGCACGGAGCACGGCCCCGCGACTAACAAAAGAAAATCTAAGCAATTAGTCGTCGCCAGAAAGAGCGGAAAACACGCGTTAGACGCGGTCACGCCGACCAGTCACGACGCAATCAAACACGACAAAATCAACCTTAGCGACGTCAATTATGACGGCCTTGAGAGTTCATTTACAATTATTTAAAAACGTTATATAGAGCAATATGTCTACGCCTCAAGATATATTGCGTTGCCATACTTCTGGACAGGCCATATTGATATGTACATACAAAATATGGACCAGCGACGACACCCTGGAGGAGACCTCCAAAAGAAGCGTGGGAAGACCACAAAAGCGATGGAATGACGACATCAGTAATCTCTAACTGGGAAATGGATGAATGAAGCAAACAGCAGGTGTAAATGGATGAATGAAGCAAACAACAGGTCCAAATGGAAAGTTCAGGACCCCTTTAAAAGAGATCCATACTGCAGAACACGAAGTAATGGAAAATAAACTAACGTAGAATAAGTGTAATATAATAACAAAACTAACATTTGTAAATTTTATAGTATGGAATTAAATTGGATTTATTATTATAATTGGTAACTGTTTACTTTAGTTCAGGATTGGATGAAACAATCCTAGTACTGGTTTTATCTTGGTCTGGGTCTAACAATTTGATGAATTACTTTGGAATTATTCCGGTGGCGGACTAAATTATACGGGCTATTGATACTTTATTAAGAGTCTACATTTATTTTATTTTATTTAAACAACCACAATTGTTTGAAAAGTAATTCCTGATATATTGACCCAAACCTGTTTAGCGATACCGAATCATACCCGTGGAAAAAGCTTTTCAATACTAATCAGTGATTGCAATCGGACCATGTCAAAAAAGGAACCCGCATCAGAACCGAGGGTTCCGATTCTCGCTCGGCTGAGCGTGTTAAGTGCTAATGTAATAATCCATTACAATAAAGCGGGCTGTACGCTAAATAGCGCTTTCGAGCGGAGCCGACATCTGCCCGCCGAACAATACAACCCCATTTAATCACCCCACTTCCACCTCCAGTCCTAAACAAATATTCAAGCCGGATAGCCACAGACGCGAAATATCCCAAAAATTATAAATTTAAAAACTTTAAAATAATAGAGTAAGGTGTAACAGACATAAAATCGATTGCATTTTAAATTCGGAATCTAATTGGCCACACCTAGCCGATTTCTAATACTAAATAAACGTGGGAAAAACAAACCACATAATGAACGAAAAAGTGTTTCTTATTAAGAGGCGAGCGTCGTAAATTGATTTTGTTTCCGTTTAGAGGACGTGTTGCGAGGCTATTATTAAAAGTGGGGTTCGAGCGTAGCGAAGGGGTCGGCGAGCGTAAAATCAACAGATTACAGAGCCCAGGCCCTAGCAGCTAAAGAACCCCGGTGCATAAAAGTAATAACTCGTTGCCCTCGCTTTTGTGTCTGCGGTAAGGGTTGTCAGTGCAAATATTAGTAATTTATTAAACGGTTTATTCTTGATGAAATTTTAATGGGGAGAATATTAAACAACCAATTTTACTAAGGGTTATTTCACTGGAGTTACGTTTGATTTTCTCTAGGTGACGTGTTATCTAAAGACCGTTATTGTTTACGAATTCTCTCTGCTTTCTTACAATAATGTTTTATGAATAAAATTATTAAAAGATATTACTGGTAACCCTAAACACATTTTGTAAACTCCACTAAGCATCCCCATACGTGTATTATCTCCGCGCCACTCGCACACATTAGGGGATGGCAGACGTTCCCTTATCCCTATAATATCCCGATAACAATACATTGAAATAAACGCCGTCACAACATCATAGAAACTTTACAATTATAACGAAAATGTTTTTCTGGCTTTTTTGCTCACACAAGGAAACAAAGGAGGTTGTAAATTAAAAAGCAAAATGTCAACAAAACGCGGCCGTGCTTTGTGGGTGTCCGCCCCTGCCCGAAGCGCCCACTCAAACAACGCTCGCAGATACCGAGTGCAATAACATTTTTTTTAAATTACTTCGAATTCTTTCCATTTTTAAATTCTTAAAAGCGATCTGTGGTTCTTGTTTTCAAAGATTACCGTTGGAATGTGAAGTCGTTAGTATAATACCTACATTATTTAATTCATAGAGATTGTGAACTAATAATAAAAACAGATTATTAATTCACATTATCTAACATAGAAACTGAATAACTTGCTTAATTATAAATAAACATACCTGTTTATGCATTTCCACATTGAGCCCATATGACATTTCATAGTACTGAAACATAAACACAGATTATAAATATCAATTAAAGCGGTTGAACAATGTGACACAGAAAGCATTTGGCAGTGATTAGCTTCCTCAAATCATTGAAGTCGAGTGACTAAACATCCGCAGTACATTTTGGCGGTTCGCCAGAAGTGTTTCCGACATATAAAAACTCTCGCGAAAATTTCCTCCAGAGCGTATTAAAATAAATTGCAGCCGATTTGGCAACACTTAATCGTGATTCATATCGGGCGGAACGAGCGCGGGAATTAGGGACTGCCAAATATCTATTCGCTTCTAGCTGAATAATGTTGCCACTTTACTTTTTTGTACGCCATTTTTAAATTTTGTTATTATATCACTCAACAGCTAATTGTCAAAATATTTATTTAGAAGTATATATCTATTATGACAAAGTATATTATGTACTGCTTTAGTGTTGATATTGTTCAATAAATCAATGATTCACATGTTCTAGCTATAAATTATCTATTTGAGTACATTTTATCGGTATCTGTAAAAATAGTAATAGCTGAGGAGTGTGGGTGTCATTCATAATAAACAGGGCACTTGTCACGCGAGCATACAATATTATTCATGTCAGCTATTATCTCTAAATAACAGGGGGACTTAATATAATGGACTGTCCAATCGCATGGAAACAGTACGCTCGATATGCGGGCGAACAATAGATAAATATCATTGATTGTTTACTATGATTACGTACACTTTAATTTCAGTATACAATTTTAAGCTTTTGTCCATAGACGTTGTTAATAAAACAACTTTTATTTCAACATTAATTGAATTAAATATAGAATAGTTCGCCAGTTCCAAATTTAAAAGTTAATTACTCACCATAACATAATGCCTTTGTATTTCAATTTTCTCACTGGCCAGTTTTTCACATTCTAATTTTAAACTGAAACAAAGAATAATAATTTGTGGTTTTAATTAAATTGACATCCGTCAAAAAGGCAGACTAATTATTAAAATCAATACATAGACAAAACAAGATCCTGTTTTAGTGTCAAAGTAATCATTTCAATTGATAACAGATATTTTGACTTGTTTTATAGGCTTTATCGTTTCTGGTAACTTGTAGTGTTATCGGTTAACGTTCATTCAAATTGACCCTCGAATGATAAACTTCATTCATTACAGTAGGAGCGTAACAAAGATTACAATAACCTTATTATTCTTTAACTAATGGGTACATTAAATATTTTCTATGTTAATATTTAGGGAGATTCAGAAACGATACTTAACACCAACTATGCCTTGTAAAGTTAACAGCTAAAGCGGTTCTAGTAAATAATAAGAAAAAATATTCGCAATAAGGCACTTTTCACGAGATAGCATAAACCTGTATTTGTTAACAAAAGGTCGTAAAGGGATTTGAATGTAAAAGGACTATTTAGCGTTCACAAAGAAAGGATAAGGATACTCAGAGGATCTCCCGGATGAATTTTTACGGGAATTTTTTATGTACTTGATATTTAAGCTGTGTTCTCCGATAAGGGGTTTTAGTAATCTCTTCAAGTTATCACAAGTATCTTAAATATTTTTTTAGACTTATAAAGAATATTAAACTGATATGGAATCATTATATTAAATATTTATATTATTTAGAGTTTTCGCACTTGTTACAATAAGGTTCTTTAGGTATGTGTAAGTCGAGAAATTGTATTTTCAGTTCTTAGATCTCAAATTGTACCTTACAATAGAATTGGCTTTTTTTAAATAAATTTCCCTCATAATCAAAAGACAAAAAAAAAAGATGTTTGAAGTCCCATAACATCCTAATGGGGCGTGGAGCAGACACGTTTTTGCGTCTACATTAATCATGTTTTAAGACAAGTAGGTGATGTGATGCCTACCGAAAACAATCATTATCTCATCGGTATCGAATCCTGGACCTTAAGAATACATGCTACGTACTTGTATATGAATTACTTACTTATGATATTGAGCTTGTAGAAAGTTGAATTCTTCTTTTATTCTGTCACAAGATTCACCCACCGTGAACTTAATTGGTTGGCCCGGCTGCGGCGGTCCCTGCTGACATACGTACTTTATAATTAGTAAAAACCATAATTAAACAAAACTATTACTAACAAATACAGATAAACTATAAGACAAATACTGTAACGCAAGGTCATAGATAATACATAGATACTCAAACCGAACAACAAAATGTCTCATTATCTTAGTTCAAACACTATACACGTAGGCACTACAAAATGTAATGACATATTGAATAACATGTGAAATCCTCTAAAGATTTTTAATCCCCAATTATATAATTAATAATGTAAAACAATTTAAAGATCAATCATAAGACTAAAAACAATAACTTTAATGTCAGCCAGAAAAAGTTCCTATCACAAAGTTAAAATTACACGCATCCCAAATTACCATAATACAAATTATCCTTTAATGACCATAATTCGGTGTGAGGCTCGATTAATAAAAAACGACCGCTCGCCTCTTAACACACAAATAAAACACGAACATGCACCAAAAAAAAAACAAACTCCATAATAAGAAGCCGGAAAATAAAAATAAAGCGAACACGGTCGCCGGGAGGGCAGCAAAAAATAAATAACAGTCGCTCGCCGGCGCGAGGAACAAACGGACTTTAAAAATAATAAAAGGAACGTAAATAAAAGTGTAAAAGGAACTAGTGTGTAGACGTTGTAAATGGAACTGCGGACAATCGGGCCCGGGAAAAATGTGGACGGAATTTTGTGAATGCAACCGGAGCGCCTTCTCAAGCCGTAATGGGCGATCGCACTTAATAATGTAATACCGCGGATAACCGCAAGAAACCCGAGCTTTTTATGCTTCAACATCTATTTAAATTTATTGACTGTACAACGAATATTGTAAACGCAATTCTTAATCGTATTACTGTAATAAAAAAGCTTTTAAAGGAGTCTTGAGTATCGACATACATAAACGTTTAAACAGAACAAAACATTATCGGTAGCTGTTTCAAGGAACTCGACCACACAGTGCGTGCATGCCGTTCGGATGTTGCATACTAAGGTAAAGGTCTTGAAAGTACTATTACTGTAATATTAATACAAGAACATTGAAATTATTAAACAATAAATTTTTTGTAAAGCGAAGTAGCGCAGTAGCAAAGTTTTTTTGAGAATTTAATTTAGAATCCTCAAAGAAATTTTAGTTAAAAAGGTGAATTGAAAATAAATAAAGGCACTTGTAAGCTAAGCGTAATTTGCTAAGAAAACATAAATTTCGTATAAACACCAATAAATTTATTTTAAACACAGCCTTTGTTTAGACTAAAGACAAGAAGCAGATGTATTGCATATTGGCTGATAATAAAAGTTGTTTTAATTATTTTATCTGTGGCGGGTGTCTTGGTGAATCAGTGTTTACTTTCGGGCTAATTTTAACCGGAATTTTGTATTTCCAGCTCGATGAGTTTACTCAATGGGTAAGCTGTGGCCTGCAACTTCTAGTATACATATATGTATTATATCAAACTGTAATTTTCAAAGCAAATTATATAGATACAGATCTGATAGGCTTCTGTAATCGTTAAAAAAGAACCATTCAAGATCTACATTTATCTAAAATTTCTGGGTTTATGAGTACGTCAGTGGTAAACAATTTTTTATACTACTTAAGGTCGGCCCACACTATTTTTTTTATAGATAAACTTTTCTCCCATTTTTATTTGCGATATTAGTACCCACTGTAATCTTTTTATGGCAAAACAAGGTTGCCGGGTCAGCTAGTAATCAAATAGTTTCCAATATAATAATACGAATGTTTAAATTATAATGAATAGCGATAAGTTCGCACAGTTTAGACTCGAACCCCATTGAATCGAACACAAAAAAATAATCCACGACTATAATAGAGTAAACGTTTGTAAAAAGGCTCTATAAATTATCACCGAAAAGGTCAAATTAAAATACAATGAAGAGTTTTTGAGTCTTGGAGGGCCGGATGAAAGGCCCGAACATAAAAACAGAATGCATTTAAACGGATATAAAAAGAAATACCAAATTATTGAATACGTCTGTCTGCCCACGTCTACCTGTTCACTCCAATCTTTTGTTGGAATCTCAATTTCTTATTAATTCAATGAGCGAACCGTTTGCATAATTTGTTGGAATTTTTTGTTTGGAATTTTTTCTTATGATATTAGGTTTCATTTTACGCCGCTCGTTTTTTTAATTTAAGTAGATCTGTTTAACTCTTTAATACTATATATCATAAACAAAAAAATGTCTAGTCTTAAGAACGACAACTGCACAGATTGGAAACAATTGCTGTAAGTATTGTCTAATAAACTTATTTTTTTTATATTTAATGACTTATAATCGTTTCCTTAAAAGATTGAACATATAGAATGTAGCATAACTTACTAAAAATCCACCTTATCTTCGTTGTGGAAAATTTATTTATGAAAATAAACCTTTTTTAGTACGGTCAAAGTACAACCATTGTAACACCATTTGCACTCAAATACGAAAATACAAATATTTGTATAAGATTGGTCCGTATGTGTGTGTAAAGGTATGTACCATTTAATAAAAAGGCGATTTCGCATTTTAAACCACGGAAACGATGCTAACATGTCCTATTATAATAACAATGTCAATAGTGTGAGAGAAGTATTCATTCAAATATTCGTTAGCTTTCGCTTATTACAACGTGAAATTAATAATCACTGTTCTGTGCTCAACGAATTGAAATATTTTCGAAAATCGAACATTAGAATCAAACTAAACAGATTATATAAACCATGTGTGACCAGCTATATATAAAAAATTACCATAATGAAATGGATTATTTCTATGAAATTAATCACTAAGCTAATATGCTATTGGCAAATAAGGAACAATATTGTAAAACCAGGCATTTGCGGTCAATTACCACCATGATTTGCACGTACCTATTACCGCATGGTTTTTTAAACTGTGAAATGTTTTATTTAACTCAAAATCTAAAGATAACTATATGTAGTGGTAGAAAAAACCAGATAAACATTCTACACATTATTTTATTTATAAAACTATAAACAATAACCAAAAAAATAAAAAAGAAAATTGTTCACAGAATCTATGATAACAATTTGATGAAGTCTAGATTATGACGAAGCGTTGTTAGCGTACTCCAAATACCGTGTTTGCTTTCTGATAAGGCTTATCACGACATAAATGTGGAGAATTATTTTAGAGGAATATTTACTTAGGCATCCTTATCAAACGTTCATCAACCATTTCGCTGTTATTTCCGTTGTCCGCAAATTTGAATTAGGTACAACAGAATTTGTATCCTCATCAAATAATTGGTAGCCTAAAATTTTTAATATACCTACATAACCTTATTTTATCGAAATTCGTTAAAAAGTTTAAGCGCGAAAGCACAACAAAATTTAAGCGTTACCAAAAGCTAAATTCAATACAAGTAAACAATATTTAAGTTATTAGCATATCAAGTTGTGACAACGCAAATATCACTTGTTCATAGCGGTAATTTCGTAAATCAAATATTTGCTGAGTGCTAGGACGCGACACGGATTTTGAGCAAACATACAAATAGGCATTTACATTAACACCTCCCTCCTCCCACCCCTCAGTCATAAACCAGTGTCGACTGTCGTAAAAGAAGTAAAAGTGCGCTATTCGAAACACGGTCAACAATCGGAAAATCTCACTGAACACGGCCATAAATTTTACTGCCTTTGCTAGTTACTTAGTACTTTACGGCAAATTTCTAATTTTAAATTTGACAATGAACACTTCTTATAAAGATTGCCTATGCACTTTTTACAGAAATTTCAAACTGTCATCTGTCAGGTCCATTATAGCAATTTAACGTAAAAAAGTTAGTCTTTGAAAAAGCCATTTGAATTGCATTAGTATTTTCTACGACTTATAAAATCGTTAGTCGTTTGCGTTTTCCGTTCTAGTAAGTTGTTGACACAATTTCTTGGAAATCCTTTACCTATTTTATTCTAGCTATTCTGAACAGCAATTAACAGCTTTGTACATAGTTTATGTTCACACTGTTTATGTTCAATTATGTGCATATTTTATTCAATAGTAATTATTATTAATCTTTTAGTAAACATGAATCAAACTCATTTAACTTAAACGCTCCGAACTAGATATTCTCAAAGGCAATGCTAGGTCATGTACACATTAGTGCACTAATGGACTTCATACACAAGGAGGCTTTCTCACGGTTTTCACTCTCATTAATATAATTTGCTACATAATAGTCTGTACAGTATGACTGATCTGCAATTTTTGTAATTTTTACATTTGATATTTTAAAATAGATTCTTAATTTAAAAATTGTTGTGAAATAAAATAATATAAAAAGTTTAATTTCTTATGGAAATATTTTGATGAAATTTAGAATGTTTGAAATGAATTCCAGCTATCGCACAATTAGAATATTCCTTATATTCGCGGGCTTACCTAGCTAAACCATGTTTTAGCGGATTTTAAAATACTGCGGCTAAAACCCGTCGGTAAACGGTCGACAGATGTTCCACAATTGCGGTATACATGTGATAGGCTAATATCTACCTTTTCTCTATATAAATAAGGTTGAATTAAGCTTAAATAGCTTAATATGAAACTCGAAATGTGGTTATCTGACATGTTTGCGGTAACATCTCTTATTTACGGGGAAACAACGCGGTTTTAACTTATAAAATTAAATTTTTCATGTGAAGTTAGAGAAATTTTTGGACTTGGTAATACTTTTACATTTCTTTCAAGCAATTTGATGGTTAATCTAGCGTGTCGTTCGCATTGAGTTTGGGGACGCGAAGGGGACATGCCTCAGCGGGGGGTGCTTAGTGACGTTTTTGTTACGCCGTATTGTTTGGCTTTATTGCCGAACCGTGATTCTTATCAATTCTTAGAACTATCAATTGTAATATTATGTGAACTCAAATAAATGGTGAATACTTGAATACTCATAACAAACAACAAATTACGAACTTATCTACCTAAATTCCCACGAACTGTGAATGAGGCGCTTTAATTACTGTCGTCGATTAAAAATGAAATGAGGGGTCTCATTATTTTTATAATGCAAAATTATTGTTTAAAGTATTACCGGATGCCTGGCAGCCGCCACGGCAGCAGCGGCGGCGGCAGCGTTCATTGCGCCCGCGCTAGGATACATCCCCACGTCAAGCACACACGGTCATCGTCTACAGGACACTCCAAAAACGATACACCCACACACTTCCACTGAACACAAAAATCACTGCAAGAGAGCGCACTCCGCGCGGTCAGTCACACGCGATTAATTATAAATAGTTGCGAGACACAACCTCCTCTTCCGAATACTTCGAACGGACTGGCGCGCCGGGGGGATTGAGCGGGGTCCGGAGGATCTCCACACCCCGCGTTCTTACCCCTCTATCACCCCTGGTCTCAGTATGCATGCCGTTGTCATAATAAAATATATAATTTCTTGAACTGACATTTTTAGATTTAAACCATACATTTTAAATATCTTGACAAGGCTTAAGTACTGCCAAAAATAAACAAAATAAAGCATATGTGCTTAGAATAATCTCGAGAACGTGATGATAAAATCTCTTCATGACAATCATTGATGACCATTTTATTTATCTAACATTGTGGAAGATAATCAAGATTACAACACATAAGCTGCCTCTAATTTAGAAATATTGCCATTGTACTACTTATATAATAAGAATAAATTAAACTATATGCAAATGTCATATTATTACTTAGATGGGTAGGTAACTAGAAACTGATTATTAGGAAATATCGTAATAGCATATGTAAAACAAGAATAATATTGATATACAATATTATCTTGTGTCCATAAATTAAGGATGTTAAATGAGGAAAAAGGTTCTTATCAAACAATAAAACCATTTAAATAATGGCAAAAGTCAATTAAAGCGTCACACAAATGTTTTATTACACAAATAATTTTCAAGGCGCATTATGACAGCTCTCAAATGTAATTTTAAAGAACCGAGTGTCGCGCGCTTTTTGTAAACAACGCTAAGCATGGAAGATGAAATTAAAAAAAAACTTTAAGTCTTAAATAGAGAATTGCGAGTGAGGAGTTCCACCAAATTTACGTTTTATACCTTAGAATATAGGATAAATATTTAACTAGGTACGCAGACGAAGCCACGAGCTATTTGTTTGCCCTTTAAAATTCGAATAGTTTATATTTCCAAATAAATTAAAAACCAACTAGATAAAAGGTAAAATAATTTCCTAAGACTTGTGTCAGTCAACACTAAAAGACTTAAAAGAGTCCAGTTAAAGAAATCATTAAATAGTCTATTAAAGTTTCTAAATTCTAAAGAGTAAAACCTTAATTTGAATAAATAGAGCTATTATATCCTCTCATTTTAGCTCTATGGTCTTAATGCGTGTCTGTGGCGAAAAAAGATACCTAAGTTTTAATGTGCGCTTATAATCTTTTATTTTACTCGAAGCTTACAATAATGTCTCGCCCACAGACGTGTGACACAATTCAGTAACAATAGCAGCGGATGGACGTTTTATTCCCTCGTTTACTGTCACTTAAAATAGTATTGGTTTATTCACGAGATATGTATTTAGTACGAAAATACAAAGGAATAGTTAAAATATCCTATGCCTATCGAATACGTATTGAAATAGTTTACTTTATACAAATATAAGAATACACATTATAAACAATTCACTAATAAATTACAAAATTTTTAAAAACGTTTTTAATTACTTAAAATTATTCGTCTCTTAAAATGTAATTATTATATTGAAATAACAGTTTGTGACATACGAAATCCGCCAATTTCGTTATGTAAAAAGCAGTTTCCATTGACATTATTATGTCCCCATTAAAACCAAAAAGTATTTAATTGCAACAATACAAACACATATTAATAATAAGCTTTTTAAGTATAATAATACGCTGCTTCAATGTTGCCACGTCTAAACTTCTAATCCACCCTTTTTTAAATAAAACATTATAATGCTCATTATCGGTTTAAGTTTTACGAAGTCAGGTAAAAAATAGATTTAATAATTAATGCTAACAATTAGTCGTCTGTGAAAAAAACAATTCAAACCGTGTTTCCCAGAAGGCTCGGATTCATTCTTATATTTTTTGCTTGAAATAGCGTGCACAAAATTATTATGTTTTCTCGGTGTCGCAATCATGTGTGAATATTTTATACGGCGTATTGGTTATTTTTTATATGTACAATGTCTTCAATTAAGGTGTATAATAAGTAGGTTTAGTAACAATAGATACATTTCTCTTTGAATATCGTCATGATGTCATCATTGTACTATGTGATTTATTCAGTTTAAGTTTAGTTTAAATTGTGACATCGTATGAATAATGTTCATAACTTAATTAAACGCGTATTAAGGAAAATTTGTATATTTCCTAGAACCTCTCGTTTACAGAATACAACCAGCGTCATACATTTTAAAACTTCATTAAAGCGATTTGCATACATCAAGTATTAGCTATGCTTTCGATTTAACTTTTAACCCCGTCTGGGACTCAAAGTGGTATCCGGTAACTCCGTATTGTTCGTGAGGGAATGCCATTTTAATGACCACGCCATAGTTCGACGTGCGTCATAGTTTAAGAACCTACCCAACTATTCTTAGAGTTCATTCTCACTATTACATAAGCTCAACAAACAGCTCTTTAATCTAATTGACTTTTACACAACACGCCTCGATTGATTTACGATTAGTCTTGTCTAAAGCCTACGTAAGTAATTTGCTGCCGATATATTTAAAGATAATAACGTTATAATAGCGATTTAACGTGTTATTAAGCTATTCTGTATGCGATTTCGATGTTATCAATAATTAAGAATTGTGTTGCGAGAGAATTCTATCGCTTAAGACTTGACTTGTTTAAATTTGGAACGTAGGACCTTTTATAACAATGGCTACGCATTGTGTATTCAAAGTCTGCTGTCAGTTGTCCGATGTGAGCTGTAGGTATCATTAGTTTTTTAGACGAAGCGCTCGTTGAATTGCGATCGCGACTACCGAGTACCGGACAAGCATACTTATCGGGCACAATACGCCCACGCAGATACCTATCTCTCGCGCCTTCTTCGCCATACTTCTATTTCCTTTTGGACTGGTTTTTACCTGACGCTCGGCGACGAATAAAGTAGCCACATGTCTGTCTAGATAACTGTGTAGCTCGATACCACCTACGTAATTGGATTCACGTCGCATTTAATCTTATTATTCTTTTTAAAGCGTCAGTAATAGGTACATGAATGATCGTGTCTTTATAGGATTTGCATCATGTTGTGTACGGTAGATAAGTCGATGGTATCGGCGTTGCGAGGAGCAGGAAGCGCGACCCGCGACCCGCGACGTGCCATTAGCGCTGCGCATTCAATAATAATGAACGAGCCGCACCAAAATATCCCCTGTTTACACCCACTCGCTCGCTCGATCCGCCGCACCGACCGACCGCATTTTATTTTTTCGCTGTCGCACATTTCGCCGTCATAGCTATTTCCACTCGAGGTATTATACTCTCGTACGTGTGTGAGTTAGTCCACGTGGACCGCACCGTCGACGACGAACTGAATCCGCGCAATACGGGCCTCCGATTGGCTCAAAGTTCGAGATCGCTTATTAAGGGCGGAGTTACACGCGTTTCTGGCTTCTTATTGGCGAACATGGTGTGAGCAAATGCCGTGATTGGTCTAGGTGATTTTTATAAGCGCGGCAGTCCACGTGGACTCGTTTATCTATTCAGACGCCGGCGGCGCGGTCGCGGGGGGAGACCGGGGGGTATACGGGCAATCAGTAAAGGCGGGAGGAATACGGCCATATTTATAAGAGCTGCGGGGATGCAATCACGAAGCGGCGCGGGGTGGCAGGAGGCCGGGGGGGAGGCGGCGGCCATTTTGAGGGCAGCTCTTTTTATTCGTTTTTCGCGCGGGGTGCGTCGTCGACGGGAGCGCGGCGTGCGCTAATTGCGGGGGTAATGAGGGCGCTCCGCTCAGTTCGCTCACTCTATTAAACTGGCTCGCTATCGACTACCTTATTGATTTGTCCTTAATCGAGCCGCGGCTGGCGGACTTGGCCAAGCAGAGAGACACGGCTCGCTGTAATGTAAACAAAGCGGCTCGCCCGCGTGCGACATCGCACAAATTGAATTGCAATGATTGGGTGTGGTGCGGTGGCCGAGCGACGCCACTACAAGTTCACTACACTCAACAGTATACGTAAACAGCAGCCGAGGCCTACTTACATTAACATCGCTTCGCATAAAGTTATAAGCCGTACTTATCATCTTAAATACATATAAGTACCTATATCCGTCGAACCCATCGCAATGTTGATAGGTTGAGCTTACGTATTTGCAATTCACACTCCGGGTGATTTTATAGGCATCTGTCGTCCAATAAATCTTCCTAGAAAACCTAGTCCGTGACGCCTCACTGGCTGATCATTATGTATATTTCTGCTATGCTGATGAATAACTGACTAAACAAAAACTTGGCTTCAATTCTCTATTCCATCTGCTTAAGCTAAAGAAATAATGCTAATGTTTTATTCACAAGAATACATTTTAAAAGCATATTTTTTACTAAATAGCTACAAGTAAGAATGGCAAATAAATTAATTTTTAATATTTTTTTTGAAAACTATAAATTACTTGAAGTGTAAAACTAAGAAAAAGTTTTATTTTGGTTGAACGACATGATCTAATATGAAAGGAGCAAAATTGGATTTATATTATCCCGCTGTGCGTGAAAGCTGAACAATGGGGTGGCAGGACACTCTTGTTTTGTTACAGATAATATTCTTTGGAAATAAATACAATGGAGGCTTTATTTTTGTCTGCTATTAACACTACAATATTCTTTTTTTAAATTATGGTTTTAGTTAAATTAGAGCAGTGTTGGCCTAGTGGCTTCAGCGTGCGACTCTCATACCTGAGGTCATAGGTTCGATCCCGGCTGCACCAATGGACTTTCTTTCTATGTGCGCATTTAACATTTACTCGAACGGTGAAGGAAAACATCGTGAGGAAACCGACATGTCTTAGACCCAAAAACTCGGCGTGTGTCAGGCACTGGAGACTGATCACCTACTTGCCTATTAGATTTAAAAAGATCATGAAACAGATTCAGAAATCTGAGGCCAAAA